CCATCTCCCTCCTCAAGTCCTGCCGAAATCTATTTTCAAAAGCAAGGCCAAGGTGAGTCCTCATTTACAGTATCGTAGACAATACCCACTGTAATGGCATTTTCAGACCCATTTGGATTTCCTCTATGTTATATGCAGGGCCTTGTGTTTTCTATGATTCCATCTAGGTTTTATGGTTGTGAAGATAAGATTTCTGCACGTGAACGGATATAGTGGTATGTACTGGGACGGCAAACAACTGAAAGAATAGCTTTAGGTTGGAAGTAAACTGGCCCCATTTGTCTACATGGTGCATGAACACAAACCTAATGCTGACAATTTAAATGTTTACTGTTTCTCTGCTATCATTTCAGCAGAAATATCCTGCTAATGAGCTTAGCCATTCCTTATTTTTCAAATAAGGTAAAATTAATTAAACTGATTCTACTGATGCTGTGATTGTTAAACAAATATAAACTTTTTCTTACTTAATTATTATTAATTATTTGTATTACCATAGCGCCAAGAGCCCTAGTAATAGACCAGGATCTCATTGTGCTAGGAAAAGTACAAACTTCTTTGTATTGACTGTCAAGCGTTAAACAAATAATTCTTTTACTTATATTTTTTTAGATACTGCTGCTGGTTCGAAATCTAAAAGACACCGCTGTATCTTATTTCCATTTTTACAACAATATACCTACACTTCCTTCCTTCGGCTCATGGGATGAGTATTTTACAGCTTTTATGCATGGAAAATGTACACTCTGTTTTTCTGTTTTTTAGCTATTCTGTAATTAATGGATTGGCAAAATTGGGCACTGGGATTCAGGAAGACGTAGGGCAGATTCTGATCTCAGTTGTAATGTTATAATTCAGGAAGAACTTCCTTGTCTTAGAGTTATTCTAGATTTATAAATGATGTAACTGAAATCAGCCTGTGACCCCTGAAATCAAGAGAATTCATTCGCTGACACAGACTCCCTCTGTGATCTTGAGTAAGTCATGTAAGCTCTTACGGCCTGACCACCATTACCCTGAATTTTATATAGTCTGAAACACAGATTTAGGAAATTAAATATGAGTGATATTACCGACTATGCTAATACAGTACTTATTAAAATAGTGTGACAGGGTAAGGCCAGATGGCTATAGGAAAGTAATGAGAAACAGGTATGTTAGTGTTGCCAGCCCAGAGGTCCCGAGGGGGCAACAGGGGGTTCGTTGCCCGGTGTGCGTCGCACCAATAGACACACCAGGGTGGAGAAGCAAACCAAATTTATTCAAGATCTTGAAAAGGCACTCAGGAGAACAGCATGTCTCAAATCAGAAGCGCAACAAATACAAGCAAGTTTCCCATTTTATATTCCAAGCTGTTTGTGTGTAAGCCTTTGTTCTGTTTCTCCTCCACCCCTTCCTTCCCGACAGCGGTTACAGTAGGCACTACATTGTGGCGTGTTAGAAAAGTTCGCGTCCGCATGCTTATCTTTGGCTTCGTAGGCCTCTACGTAGTAGACTTCCCCCCTTCCCTCCCTTCTTCCTTATCATCATTGCTTTTCCTAGTGTGAGCGAAACTGCAGCTGTCTGCTAAAAAGCTGACAGTTACATATTCTGCTTTTAGGCTGGTTAGCATTGAGGCTGGTTAAAGTTCACAAGATGGAGTTGCTTTAGCTCACTTAGACCCAGAGCAGGGGGGTTTCATTGGCACTTATGGCCTTCCACCCCCCTGAGTTACCTGGTAGCTATGCCTAGTGACATCAACAGTAGCCCCAGGCTAAACAAATCCCTGTTACCAGGGTAACTAAATGGCAATTGCTCCAGGTTAATCAAGACACCTGAGACCAATTAAGATCTTTCCAGAAGGCAGGGAGGACACTTGGCATGATCGAGAGGCATGCTTAGTCACCCAGGAGACCCTTCCCCAGGAGGATAACGTACATGAGCAAGTGAGGATATCACCGAACTTGATGCCGATCCAAAAGATTGAGGCAACCGATGTGATTAATCGCGACCGAGATGTGTTCTCTACAAAACCGCGGCGGACAACTGAGACCTATCACCATATCTGCACGATCCCTGGAGCCAAGGTAACATTGAGACCCTACCGTATCTCAGCAGCCAAAAGAGAAGAAATCAAGGCCGAAGTAAAGAAAATGTTAGAATTAGGGGTTATTGAAGAATCATACAGTCAGTGGTCCAGTCCAATCATTCTAGTGCCTAAATCTGACGGTACCACGAGATTTTGTAATGACTTTTGCCAACTGAATGAAATATCCCAATTCAGTTCATATCCCATACCACGCATCGACGAACTGGTTGATCGACTGGGTAGTGCCCAATTCTTGACTACACTAATCTGACAAAAGGGTATCGGCAGATTCCCCTGACTAAAGAAGCTAAAGAAAAGACAGTGTTCTCCACCCTGGACGGGCTATTCCAGTACACCGTCCTCCCTTTTGGGTTACATGAGACACCGACCACATTCCAACACCTCATGGATAAGGTGCTGCGCCCCCATACTAGTTATGCAGCTGCGTAACTAGATGATGTCATCATCCATACGCCAGACTGGGGAACCCACTTGGAGAAAGTTGAGGCAATACTGCGCACCATAAGGCGGGCTGGCCTCACCGCTAATCCTGCTAAATGCGCCATAGGGCTAGCAGATATATTGTAGGAAGGGGCATAGTGAAGCCCCAAACGAATAAGTGAGAGGCGATTCAAAGCTGGCCCCGGCCGGCCCGAAAGAAGCAGGCCCGTGTGTTCCTAGGCATGGTAGGCTATTACAGACGTTTTATTCCCCACTTCACCACTAGGACAAGTCCCCTAACGGACCTGGTGAAGGCCCAAGGTCCAGACATGGTGAAGTGGACCGATGCAGCAGAGGGGGCATTCATAGACCTTTGGACGGCCCTCTGTAATGACCCCATACTCATAGCCCTGGACTTTAACAAGGAATTTATTTTACAAACACATGCTTCTGAGTTGGGGTTGGGGGTGGTTCGGTCAGAAATGGTTGGAGAAGAAGAACACCCGATCCTCTACCTAAGCAGAGAGCTGCTCCTAAGAGAACAGAAGTAAGCAGTAGCCGAGAGAGAATGTCTTGCTGTCAAATGGGCTATGGAGACATTGTGTTATTACATCTTAGGCCAGCAATTTACTCTTGTGATGGACCATGCACCCCTCCAGTGGATGCAGCAGAATAAGGAAAAGAACGCAAGGGTCACCAGGTGGTTCTTATCCCTCCAACCGTTCCAGTTCTGCATACGGCACAGGACTGGATGCCACCACAGCAATGCCTGGTGTCCCAAGTTGCCGAACTCTATGGTGTTGAGCAGAGGGGGAGGGAGGTTATGTAGTGAGAAACAGGTATGTTAGCCCCAGGCTAAACAAATCCCTGTTACCATGGTAACCAAATGGCAGTTGCTCCAGGTTAATCAAGATACTTGAGGCCAATTAAGATCTTTCCGGAAGGCAAGGAGGACACTAGGTTGATTGGGATATCTGAAGCCAATCAGGCGCTGGCTGAAACTAGTTAAAAGCCTCCCAGTTAGTCAGGTGGGGGTGCATGTCAGGAACTGTAGGAGGAAGTTGGGCTGTTGGAGAGGCTGAGGAGTACATACCATATCAGGCACAAGGAAGGAAGCCCTGAGGTAAGGGTGAAGTGGATCTTGAGGAAGTGGGGGGCTGCTGTGGGGAAGTAGCCCAGGGAATTGTACACATCCTGTTTCGAAAAGTCAGCTACCATAGCTGATACTATTAGGGTCCCTGGGCTGGAGCCCGGAGTAGAGGATGGGCCTGGGTTCCCCTCTTTGCCCCCCTCATTAATCACTGAGACTGGGAGACAACAGAGACTGTGCAAGGGAGGATAGCTTTTCCTCACCTCCCTTGCTGGCTTATGATGAAAATGGCTCAGTAGGCTGTGACCCTTGCCTCTAGAGAGAAGGGCTACATAGAGGGTCACAGTGAGCCTCTGAGGCTAGCGGAATCTGCCAGGAAACGTGGGACCCACGGAGACAAGGACAGAGCTTTGTCACAATAGGTATAAGCATGCTGGCCTAGAAATCCAAACCCAATATTCCAACTCAAAACAACTTTCCCC